AAAACCAGAACCAGTGCTTGAATGAATGTCCAGCTTTAGCTTGCTATAGGGAAATGATCACGAACCCAAGGCTCAGGAAATCTGAGTTCTGGTTTCAGCTCAGCTACTCAGTCATCTTGGATAAACCCTGTTTTCTTTGTGGATCTCCACTTAACATGAAGAGTAGATTTCTTGACCTCTTCAGGTCTCTAGTGACATCTTGCTCCACACTGTACTGTGGAGATGTCTGATGACAGGAGATCAAAGAGAAGTGCGAGAGTGACTGTTAGGTGGATCAAAGATTCCACCTGCATGTGTTTCTCATTCCTTTCTACCTTGGTGGAAAATTGGGGAATGTAGAGATGGGAATCAAGTTGAGCTGAATGAGCAGAACTACAAAGCTTTCTATCTTGCCCCTCTCCTTTGCTTCAGCTACAGGCTCTGTTCAGGATGTGAGCACGCAGTGGTGCAACACCTATGGACAATCAATACTGTAATCACTTTCCGCAATGATCTTCAGCCCTGGGTTTCATTGTGCTATATCATCTGCTGCCAACAAAATACTTCTGTGGCTCAGGATAAATCTAAGGTTCCTTTAGCTCAAAGATTCTCAATTTTGGCTGCACTTTGAAATCATCAGAAGCTTTTTAAAAATACTGATGTTTGGGCCTCAACCCTAGGACTTCTGATGTAATTGGTTTGGGGTGAGGCCTGGGCTTTAGAATTTTTAAAAGCTCCCTGTCTTAGATACTTTTCTTGTTGCTGAGACAAAATACTCAACACCCAAAGTTAAAGGAAAAGATTTAATTGGCTCACAGTTTGTAGAGGTTTCAATTCATAGTTGGCTGTCTCCAAGGCAGGGTTGCACGGCAGAAGGGCATCACAGAGAAGAAACAGTTCATGGTGGGCAGAAGGCAGCAAACTATTGAAGCAGCAGCAATCGACAGCAGTAGCTGCAAGCCACCACAACAGACCTCTTTTCATCTGTTACATAATATCAAAACTATCTGCCATTAGGGCATGTAGCACTAACACCCAGGGTGGGGTACCTTTAATTTTAGCATCATTAATTCCAGAATCACATCCTTAAACCCAGCATTGTACACCTTAGATCCAGGTACCTCCCAAAAGCCCCGGTTGTAACTGAGTGAGGCACTGGGGCAGGGGCATCTAAAATACAAAATATAATACTCCCCAAGTATATCTTGGTGCTTGGCCAGGACCAAGACCCACTGCTCAAATTCCTGCTGGATGAGTTGGAAAATGGGACTTTTTGCAATTTTTCTTCTGTGAAGAATGATGCCCCTGGCTTCGACAAAGGAGACAGCTGGCCCCAGAGCTTATGACAGTAGGAGGATGTTTGTTTCTGCTGTTATCTTAGTGTCCTGTCCTCCTATGGATGGTGGTAAATGAATCTCAAACTCAGTGAATATAATAGCTTAATGTGTTGCCTTTCCAGCTGGCAGTGTTCTTTGTGGGTCTTAACACAGAGAAATTTCTAATTGTAAGACAAGGATCCACAGAGGTGGTATGAAGTGGCCACAAACCTGATATGGCCCCTGGTCATCATCTCAGTAAATGACACCCCCACTCTTCCAGTTGACTCCTTGCTTTCTTACTCCCCACATCCAACCCATGAACATATGATCTTGGTTCAGTGCACAAAATATATCCAGAATTCATTCACTTTTCATCATCTCCATTATTACTATCCTTACCAAGGCCTCCATCATATTTTAATTGTATTTTTGCAATTATAAGTATTGTAATTAGACATATACTTAACTGGTGTTCCTACTGTTGTTGTTGTCCCTTCCTTGCTATTTTCTCCCCAGCACCAGAGATATACTTTTAAATGCACTTCAGAACCTATCTGCTCAAAACTCTCCAATAGAATGAAATTCTCACCACAGTTTACAAGATGCTACATGACCCAGTCCCCAGCTGTCTCTCTGAACACTTCCCCTCTGAGGCCTCACTTTATCACTCTATTTCAGTTTCATTAAGGTTTCTTGCTGTTCCTCACCCAATCTTATTCCCATCCTTGAGCTTTTACTGTTCTTTCTCCCTGAAAAATCTCTTCCTCAGGTAGCCTCAGGACCGTCTCTCTTTTACTTCTTTCAGATCTCTGTTTAAATGGTCTCTCCTCCTATAACCCAAGCTACTCAGGAGGCTGAAGCAAGGAGGTTGCAAATTGCAGGACAACCTGGGCAACATAGTGAGGTCCTGTGTCAAAATAAAAAGGAAAAAGGTCTATGCAGGTAGCTCAGTGGTAGAGCACTTGCCTAGCATTTTCCGTGGGCTATGCTCAATCCCCAGTACCACAAAAAATAAGTAAAATATTTAAAACAGCATCTTCTCAGAGAGGACTCGCTGACTTCTGTCTAATTCCCCAAGTCCAACTTCTGTGTATACATCCAAAGGAATTGAAATTGGTATATCAAAGAGATGTGTTCATTTAAGATGCGGGCTCAACCTGTACGCTCAGCAAATAAATGAATAAAATATGGCATGTGTACACAATTGAAACTATTCATCCTTTAAAAAATGAAAATTCTAGCTGGACCTGGTGACACACATCTGTAATACCAGCACTCTCAGAGACTGAGGCAGAAGGATCCCAGGTTTGAGCTTAGTCTGGGCAGCTGAGTGACTTAGCAAAAACTTCTCTTAAAATATGAAATTTTTAAAAACAGCTGAAGAGATAACTTAGTGTGAAGGCCCTAAGTTCAGTTCCCAGAAACCACCTCCTCCAATAAAAGGAAATTATTCTGTCATGACAACTTGGATGAACATGGAAGACATTATGCTATGTAAAATAAGCTAGGTGCAGAAAGATAATCTCACTTGTATGTGAAATCTAAAAACTTCAAACTCACCGAAGTAGAGTGAAATTGTGGTTGCCAGAGGCTAGGGGCATAAAGAAGGAATGAGGCAGTGCTGTTGAAAAAATACAAAGTTTCAGTTAGGCAGGAGGGTTAAGTGTTTGAGATATGTTGCACAGCAGGGTAATTGAAATTAATAACAATGCGTTATAAGTTTCCAAATTGGTAAAATAATACCCCCCAGTCCCACCTTTACTTACCCATTCTCTTATGTGCTCCCTTACCCTGCAGGGAATATGTCCCAAGACCTATAGTAGATACCTGAAACAACAAATAGTATTGAACCCTAAGCATCCCTATATGTACTACATTTTTTTCCAATACATACACACAATAAAATTATAAGGTAGGCATAGTAAGAGGTGAACAACAGTAACTAATAATAATAATTAATAAATAAATGAAAAATAATAATAAAACAGAAGAACACATTATAACAATGTGCTATAATAAATTCTTTTCAAAATATAGGGATGGTTTTTTTTCTGAAAGTTTCCATTTGACATTTTGTTTCGTTTTGTTTTTTGGTGCCAGGGACTGAACTTATAACCTTGCACTTGCCAGTCAGGTGCTTAAGCCACTGAGCTAAATCCCCAGCCCTGCCATTTGACATTTTGAAACCACATTTGACTATGGATAGCTGAAAAAGCAAAAAAGAGTAATCTATTTGCTACCTAAAAGACATGTGTTTATTGTCTGTCTGTCCCTGCTAGAATGAATGCTACATGAGGTCAGAGAGTTCTGTCTGTCTTGTTCACTGCTATATTCCTCATCTCAAAGAGTAGTATCTGGCATATAGTAAGCCCTCCCTAAATTTGTTAAATGAATAAATAAATGCTCCCAGAGACATGAAGATGCCCCTCAGCATGACTTATGCATTCCCTGGCTGCTAGGCTGTCAGGAGCTCAGCAAAGAGCTGAAATCTAAAGAACAACTCCCTTCATATCCAAGAGAGATTGATTCCAGGCCTCCCATGGATACAATGTGCAAGTCTTTTATATAAAATGGCATAGTATCTGAATGTAAACTACCCACATCCTTCCATATACTTTAAATCATACCTACATTATTTTTATTACCTAATACAATGTAAATGCTACGGAAATGATTTTTTGTTTGGTTTTGCTTTTTTTTTTTTTTCTGTCTTTTTGAGACAAGATCTCACCATGCAGTTCAGGCTGGCCTTGGGTTCACTGTGTGCCCAGGCTGGTCTCAAACTTGCAAACAATTCTCCTGCCTCAGCCTCCCAAGAGCTGGGATTACAGGAATGTGACACCATGCCCACTTTATGTAAACGATTGTTATATTATATTGTTTAGGGAATAAAGAGAAGAAAGAAACCTGTACATGTTCAGTAAAGATGCAATTTTCTTTAAAATATGTTTGCTATGCAGCTGGTTAAATCCAAGGATGCAGAACCTGTGGATACAGAGGGCTGGCTACAGTTTGCAACATTTGCTAATCATATTTCTGCTGAATTTTTGGAGCATTTTCCAGAATTACAAAGCCTAGCTGATTCTTTGGGCATTTCTTACAGAATTGGGTAAACAAATTGGTGCAGAGCCCAGAGAGCCCCGAGGTAGGAAGCCAAGAGACCTGGGTTAAATTTCTCATATCTCTCCTCCCAAATAGTGTAGAAACCAAATAAGTCATTTTAGAGTATTAGATTTTCTTTCTCCCACATCCAAAAATATTTATTATGCGCCTCCTTCCTAGGTACATGGCATATCTCTGAGATGAATGATATAATTTATAAAAATCCTTTGGTATACTTACATTCAGATGTAATAGAATTCACCGTTAGATATACCTCCTACTCAGAAAACCAAATAAATAAAAATTCAATGTATGTTATTACTAAAGAATTTTTGCAAACTCTCTAGACCTTGAGCATTCATAATGGGATTCAGTTTACCCACATTTGATTCATGCCCAGCTTTTCTCATAATACACCAGTCATATAGGAACATACTCTGCACATTGGCTTGACTTTAGTACGTAATCAGTATTTATTTGCTTATTCCTTGATCAGTAAGGCAAAGTGTATCTGTACTGGGACATCTTAACTCTGATGTGACAAAGACCAGATTTCCCCCCAGAGATGGTATACTCATCTACTTTCTGTTCTTTTTGCAGTCCCCTAAATCAGCCTTCATTAGTGCTGCGAAGAAGGCCAAGCTGAGGTCTAATCCTGTAAAGGTTCGATTTTCCGAGCAGGTAGCAGTCGGAGAAACACACGCAGTAAGTACATCCGCAGCCCTCTCTCTTCAGCCTTGGCCGGAATCACCTTGACTGTTAAGATCTTGCTCTGGAGCTCCTTGCAGTGGATGGGGTTTTTAAGGGGTTGGGACTGAGAGGAACTCCAGTGCTGTGGGCGGGGGGGACTGAGTGGAGAGGAGTGTGCAGCATCAAGAGAGGCCCTGGGCATCAGAGGAAGAAGAACCATATATCGATTCACTCAGGATCTTCTTGATGCTTAGAGAAATTTCTGTCCCTAACACAATAGCTTACACTCAAGGCAAGTGCTCCATAAATATCTTTTGGCTACTTGATAGGAATAGGAAGGAAGTAATGATTTTCTGAAGATCCAAAGAACAAGTGGCTGGTGAAATTGAGATCTCTTCACATTTAAGTGGCCCTGCAACTCCACATCTTGCCTGTAGAAGACCCACAGTGATGGGTGAAGCTGCCTAAGGAAAATGATACAGACTTTCCTTAAAATGCAAGTTTTTTTATTAAGATACCACTGTGTTCCCAGCACCACAAGGGATGCAAAATAAATACCTGCTTCCTGCAACTTGATGCTTCTCAGGTGTTCTAGGGACACAGTGCAAATTGAGACAGTAAAATATCCACTGCTGAATGATGTCATCTTGGGGAACAGGTAATTTTTCACAGCACATGCCATGTAGCTGCCAATGCAAGGGAGGTTCTGACCAGCCCATGGTCTTTCTTCTGCCTTAGTTTACATGCAGTAAGCTATCTGCTCCAGATGTGCAAATGAGAAGAAGTGGGTAGAAAGCAGAAAGGTGTGTTCAGCAATCATGGATTCTGGCTCAAAGTATCCCAGGAATATGTGGAAGTTGGTGATATTCCAGTGGGACAAGAATCGCTGGAGCTAGCAGGCACTCATGTACTTTTGTAGGCAGTAGTAGGCTGGGCTGTCAGAGGCCCTAGCATTTATATACTGAGGCACAGCTGCAGTTCTTGAGAGAAGACAGAAGGCCCAAATTGAGCAGGGAAATCAGCAGAATGTCAAGCACTTCTAGAATTCTTTGAGACAGAGCCACTCAGAAGAAGAGATAGAGGACATGAGTCTCTCCCATCTTCATTTCCCTCTCATCCCCCAAACCAGCCTGTGCCCTCCATCTCTGCACAAGGAAGGCTGGGAAGCCTAGAGGACTACAGGACTCCATTGGCAAACTGGCTGAATAATTTGTGATTGGAAGCCATGTAAATCCTCAAAGAAAAGGTTAAAAAGAAGCAAGGATTGGTGAACAGAGTGGAGAGGGAGCAGGATGGAGCCCCTACAGATGAGAGCAAAGCAGATCCTGAGGGTTCAAGTCACCAAGTGGACATTTGTATCTTGAACCTTTGAAAGCCATGAGGACATGACTTCAATTTGGAAAGTATGGATGGTACATGCTGTCCCATCCCTTGAGTGAGGAATCACTCAAGAACAGGACACTCAGTGAAGAACATCCTCCCCTCTTCTCCCTTTCCTTCTTCTCCTTTTTTCTTCCTTCTGTTCCTCTTCCTTCCATTCTCCCTTCTCTACTCTCTCTTTCTTCCACCATGACTGCCGTCTCCATACCTCAGAGCTAGGCCACAGACACAATCAAGCCCCAACTGCAGTCCAACCTGAATCCAAATGCCCCAGAGTAGCCAGAACCCATCCAAAGTTACTTCTCTTTCCTGAACAGGCCACCAAGCACTGTTCAAGGTTCCTGTCTGGGAAAGAGTCACACATCAACTCACTGTACTCAGAAGTTATTTGACATCACAAGAGCACCTCATCCACCACTGCCACCAGTGTGGATCCTGGGACCTGGGGGAGTCCAGGTCCAGGTGACTCTGGGATAGCCTATTATCCCTCTCCCCTCATGTTCCAAGACTTTATTGAGCATCCAGAGCAAAAATAAATCCTGTGGGTGCTCCTTGCCAACTCTATTTTGAAGCAAAATCAATTAAGTAATTATCTGAGTCCAACCCAGTGTGCTAAATAAAATCTGCCACTGCTGAGCATCATTAGCCTGGAAATCCAGGCCTCTGGGCTTGGCAGGAATGAGGCATCTCATCAGGGCTCATAGAGGACCAGGGAGCCACACTGCTCCATCTTGACATCCCATTGCTTCCTACCTTGACTTGACCCAGGCAAACTTGACTCCTGCCTCCCTATCTCTGCCAGCCATACTCCAACTGAAGAAAACTTGCTTGCTTCTATTAAAATGCTTTGTCTGTGACAGTCACTAGATCTGGACTGTTCTCTTTTGGCTTCTCTAATAATCTACATCTATCATCTCTTTTAAAATCAAAATCTGATTTACCTTACCTTGAAAGCCTTAACCATCTTATGCCTATTGGTCTGTTTTGATTTCATTGTGTGTGTGCATGTGCGTGTATGTGTGTGTGGTCACTATAAAAAAATCACTAAAAGACCAGACTCAAGTCCTTTATTTTTGTTGTAGTCCTTCTGGGGTCTAAGCATAGTACTTACTGAGTGTAGAGTAGAGGTTTAAAAAATGGTGCCTTGAGGGCCAAGGGTTTCGCTCAGAGACCTAAATGCCCACCAGGCAAGTGCAAGGTCATGAGTTCAATTCCTGGTACAAAAAAAAAATGTGCCTTGAATTAAATAATCTTATCTTCTGTGAAGTATATGAAATCCTGTAGAACTGATAATGTTGGCCTAGGGAAATTATTGCAGGCTTCTCAGGAATCTAACCATTGAAGTAAGCACATCTTAACCACCTACTACTCATTCATTGAGCAGCCACTTATTGGGCACCAACTGTGTGCCAAGAAGTTTGTGAGTACATTTGCTCTGAGTTTACAGTTTGGAACAATAAATATTCTTCAAAAGTATGAAAGTATTGAAAGAGATGTGTATAAACTGCTATATGAACACATAGGAAGACCAGGGCGCTTTTTTTGTACCAGGAATTCAACTCAGGACTTCACGCTTATGAGGTGCTGCACCACCAAGCTAAATCTCCTGCCTCAGGTCTTAAGTATCTCATGATACTGGATCAAGGCTTTGTGAATACATATTTGAACTGAATTTTAAAGAATGAATAGAAGTTTGTCAAGAAGGGAAAGAAGAAGTCAGAAGGAATGGCCTTTAATGAGTTTTTACTGAGAAATTAACATGGGCCATTCTATAAAAAAAAAAAAACCCTGCCTGGCCAGAAAAATGTATGCTAAGAGTTAGCAGGTGTTCAGAAATCCGCCTTGCCAGTGGTTTTCATTCAGCATTCAATGTTTGCAACTCTCCAGCAGCTTTTGGAAATATCTGAGGGTGCTTTGGATCATCCCAATGATTTGTCACACTACTGGCATTTAGTGTCAGAGATGTTGAGTGTCCTCCAGGGAATGAAACAGTTCCTGACAATGAAGAATTGTCAGAGATATACAGGCATGAGAGAGGCAAATGTACTAGAAATGGTAAGCCATGAGTCCAGAGAGGAAGATACGGCTAGAAAAGGCCAGGAAGCTGAGCATGGAGGCACTTGCCTGTAATCCTAGCCCTCTGGTTGGCTGAGGCAGGAAGATCACAAGTTCCAGCCCAAACTGGACAACTTTGTGACTTGTAGAGATCCTGTCTCAAAAAAATAAAGAAGGTGTGGGAATCTAGCTCAGTGTGAAAGCCCTGGGTTCAGTCCCTACCACTAAAAAAGAAAGCAAGGAAGGAAGGAAGGAGGGAAGGAAGGAAGGAAGGAAGGAAGAAGGAAGGAAGAAGGAAGGAAGGAAGGAAGGAAGGAAGGAAGGAAGGAAGGAAGGAAGAAAAGGAAGGAAGGAAGGAAGGAAGGAAGGAAGGAAGGAAGGAAGGAAGGAAGGAAGGAAGAAGGAAGGAAGGAAGGAAGGAAGGAAGGAAGGAAGGAAGGAAGGAAAGAAGGAAGGAAGGAAGGAAGGAAAAGGCCAGAATGCCATGAAAGGGAGGGAATGGCAAAGCAGAGGCAGATAGGAGAGTGGCCTGTTTGTGAAACACGTGGTGGAAAGGGAACTCTCAAGAGAGAGGCTGAGGTGAGTGAGGTGGGCTGAAAGGGACTTTTCTCAGACTCTTCAGGCTGTATGCAGTGGTCCTTGTAGGCCAAGCACAGTGCAAAGCTGTGGTGCTTTGAACTACAGTAGAGTGCAAGGGTACGGTGATACTAAATGAAGGACTGACTTTTGATATGGCCCAGTGTCTTCTTGGGGAATGTGGTTTTGGTCTCCACATAACATTATTATTGATCTGCTTTTTCCTCTGTCCCTGTCCTCCCATCCCTTTGGGTCCCTTTCTCCTTTACCTTCTCCCTCTTCCTTGCTGTACCATCCTGTGGCTTCCCTCCTCCTTCTAAATGAGCCCTCTCCTTTCCCTGCCTGTTCATAGAAAATGATGAAGAAGGAAGCCCTCCTCCTCATCCCCAACGTCCTGAAGGTTTTCTTAGAAAATGGGCAGATCAAGTCATTCACTTTTGATGGCCGGACCACTGTTAAGGTACACACAGAGTCGCCCCACATAGGTCAGCTGTTGGTCCCATTGTTCCTCTGAGAATGCACGTGGCTGCTCACTGCCAGAGCGAGGTGGCCTTTGACCTCCTGATGCTTCCTGAGGCTTCAGAAATGCAGTCCTCAGATGAGGCTGAGGGTGGAAATTTGCATGCTCAACTGTGTGCTGGTAATTGCAAAAATATGTGAATGCCCATGTGGACACATGGATGCATGTATGCTTGCCAGTTGCTTTATGTATATGTTACACAGGGTCCTTCAAGACTCTTAGAAACTAGGAAGTCTGAAGATCATTAAGCCAGTTATAAAGCAAGTGATTTATATTAATATACTAATAACATTTACACAAACTTACACACAGAAATAAATACAATCTCTTGAGACCAGCTTTGCCTTGCCTTGCTTTTTAAGTACCAGCCAGATCCTGTCCACTCAACCATGATTTTAAAAGTCGGTGGCTATTCTTTTCACAGGCAGAACAATTATTGTGATTCTTAATAGCTCAGCCAGGCATCAAAAAGTCCTAGTGATTCTTTTAGACTAAGAAGTAGAGGCAGGCTGAGGCAGGAGGATCGTTGCGAGTTTGAGACCAGCCTAGGCTACAAAGTGAACTCAAGGCCAGCCTGAACTGCATAGAGAGAACTTGTATCAAAAAGACAACAACAACAAAAAAAGAAATAGAGGCAATGATACGATTTAGCCCTAGGTTTGCTCTGCTCTGGGACATATATATCTGTTTGTACTTTTCCTGGGCTCTCCAGAAAAAGAATGCCAACCACAGAATGAATGTTTTAATGCAACCAATGCTCCCGAAACTTCTGGGCAGCTACTACACCTAAACCATGATACCTACCTTGTCCCACAGGTGTCCTGAAGTTCCCATGCTGGGGAACTAGAGAGCTTTAAGAAAACCCTAGGCCAGAAAACTTGCTAGGAGGATTTATCAGGTACTCAGAATGACCTTGCCAGTGGATTTCTACAAGAATTGGTACTGCACATTCGCAGAGCGCTTTTGCAATTGTCTGACATTATTTTGGGCCATCCCAATGATTTGTTGTGCTGCTGGCTTTTAGTACCTCAAGATCAAAGATGCTGAGTGTTCTAGAGGGGGTTAGACCACTCTTGAATGATGAAGAATTGCTCTGCCCAGAGTTCTAGTAGCATTTGGTTGCAGTATAGTGTGCCTAAGCCATATTGATTGAACCAAGAATCCTTCTTTCTTTCTTCCTTTCTTTCTTTCTTTCTTTCTTTCTTTCTTTCTTTGTACCAGGAATTGATCTCACGACCTCATGCTTGCCAGGCAGGCACTGTGCCACTGAACTATATTCCCAGCTGAAGAGTTTCTTTTTTTAAATTTTTTATTAGTACATGTATGCAGTACACAATGATTACATTCATCATAAGGAGTCAAGCCAAGAGTTTCTTTGGGAGGGTTAGGCCTAGGCACATTTCCAAGAGAATTTAGAACCAAAGTGCACCCCTTAGAGAACCATGCAATAGTCTCTTGGCTAGTGAAGTTCTCAGGCTATGGTAGGGAGCTTTGCAACTGAACTAGGCTATCCAGGGGGAATCTAAATGTCTCTCCTCTAGATGTGGTTATCTCTTTGTGTTGAAATGTTCCTTGATATTTGTTCATGGGTTGTTGGCCCACTGTAGATTCTATCTCCAAACTGGAATGTTTATCACACTCTCTTTCCCCTTGGAGGCTTTCCAAACATTCTCTTACCTCCTGTTGTCACCACCCTCATGGAATCCATCTAACGTGAGCTCTCCAGGACAGAAGTGTGTCTCTCACTTGTGATGTCACTCTGACTACAGGAAGGGTACACTGGCTATTTATTGGAACTTTGACAGATTGCCAAGCTACTTGTTCCAGAGAGGTACCTGGGTGAATTGACAGCCTGCCACAGGGGCCATTACATTTGTAACACCAGTTGGCAATCACCAGCTTGGCTGTTCATACTCCCAGTGCAGCAGAACCGCAAAGAAACCTTCATCTGTCCATGCGAGAGCTCTCGCAACACTAACCAGCACCTCTGTGACCACTTGGATAACACAAACAGAACTTCCCAAGTACCCACCAATTTTCAGCCTCCCATCTGAATGGCTACGTATCTTTCAGTGTTCACCGAGAGTCTTGTTTGGCAGCTCTGACTATCAGAGAGCTTTATATTCCCAAACCTACTTCTTTCCAGATTTGGGGGGCTGGGAGACTCTGACTCCATGAACACACACACTGGAATACAGAGAATATGCCGAAGTCACAGTAAATAAATAGCAGAAGTCTCAAAACTGACATTTGGGCAGCCCCCACAGATATGTTTCCAGACGCCCTAGTATTAAAAGTAGGGCAGCAGAGCAGACGGAGCCCAGGAGTAGTCAGATTTATGACTGTACACCAGACACGTAACAGTTCCTTTGCATGGACACATTTTTCAAGTTGCTAAATTGATCATCTATTAAAGCCAGCTACGGTCAAAACTGAACATTTTATCAGCAACTCAAGTCATTTGATTTAGATTACGAATCTAGAAATAGTATATTTTCAATCATAAAAATGCAGCACTGGCATTTTTAATTCCAAAGAGCTGACAGACAAACCAGTGGACATTGTGACTCTGGGGGGAAGATGAAGGAAGAACCAACACTTCCCTTGGCATTCAGGAAATAATTTGTTGACTGGAAGCAAGGAGGAAGAGACATAGCTTTCTTTTATCACATGCCTGCCAGGTGAAGTTCAGGAACAGCTACCACCATCCCCTGTACCTCTGGTGTTCCCAGGGCCCACACGTGTGGATAGCACTTGTGGGTCCCTTATTCATCTTGGAGCACAAACATGGGCCACCACAAAGGCTAGTGTCTCAGCCTGCTCTATAGGACTGTTGTGCTTTGTTTGTAGTCCTCCTCCACATGTTTGGTACTTACAACAGTTCAGGGTAAGAACAGATCACGATTTAAGGCCTTTTTCTTCCATAGGATGTGATGGTGACATTACAGGACCGTCTCTCCTTAAGGTATATTGAGCACTTTGCTCTTGTCCTTGAGTATGCTGGACCAGAACAGAATCACAAGTTCCTGCTTCTCCAGGACAAGCAACCCCTGGCTTACGTAAGTAACTCTTTTATCCTGACTTCATAGATTTGCATGTGGCCTATACTAGAGAAGAGAATCCAAGATATTTTGTATCTGGAAATTTCATGATGATATGCTCATCCAGCTCCCAGAAGGCATGTTTCATACCTGAGACTGTTACTATCCCACTCCAGGGGGCCTTTGGCTATGCCCTTTGTAACCTAAGGAGGGCATGAAGACCATTAGTCATGGTCACTTAGCGGAAAGATGTGGGGTGGTGATTCATAACAAAGTACTCAGAATGCCATGTGGGAAAAGACTGGGAAAGACCAGGACTCCTGGATGGGATTTCCCTAAGGGGAAGCACCAAGAAGCATGAGAGAGACAAACAGGGCCAGTCAATAGTCCCAGGTAGGGTTGGAAAGATTTGAAAAGAGATTATTGGAAAGAATACATTTTTAGAGCCTACATGGAAGCCAAACAAAAACCAAAATCGAGCCAGGTATGGTGGTGCAGGCTGATAATCCCAGTACTTGGGAGGTTGAAGTAAGAGGATCAGTGTGAATTTGGGGCCAAGCTGAGCTACATAATGAGCTCAAGGCCAGCCAACACAGTGAGACTCCTTCTCAAAAAATAAAATAATAAAATAAATTAAAAATCAGACAGAAAAATGAAAGGATTTTTGGAAAGAATCATCAAATTCAGCCATCAGCCATATGTAATCCAGAAGGTCATGAGTGAGAAGATACTGCTTTGAGGGAGGTTTAAAGCCCCCCACCTCCTTCAGGCTTCAAGCAGTCTTTTGCATCTAATTGGTCCCTTTTTCAAACGGGATTTAAAATTTATTAAGAAAACGTTCCAAAATTCGCAAAAGTAAAATGAATATAGTACATTGCCCACCCCCATCTTCAGTGATTACTAGTATATTGCCAACATGCTTCATCTATATCTCCAAATGGAATTTTCATTCTTGAAGCCTACAGTAAGGCATTAATTAGATCTAGCCTCAACTTAGCAACTTACTCTGCCTAAGGCTGAGCCCCTCTACATGCTGTACACTAGAGCCTCACAGCAAAAAAGAGCCTTAAAAGCTCTCAAGGAGCTCTCTCTTCCTCACCAGTGTCTTAGCACTTAGACCCACTTGTTCATATTGGTCAAACCATGGATATGTGTTTTAAAATGCATCACATTGAGTCAGAAAGGTAGAAAAGACCTGAATCCACATTATGTTCCCCTGAAGTACAATGGTCTCCCCTTACCCATGGGGGACACATTCCAAGACACACAGCAATGCCTGAAACTGCAGACAGTACTGCTCCCTATAATATTATATATATATATATATATATATATATATATATATATAGTTTAATCATTCATACAAATTAGGAACAGTAAAAGATTAACAGTAACTAATAAGCTGGGTGCAGTGGTGAATGCCTATAATTCCAGCACTGAGGAGGCCGAGGCAGGAAGATTGTTGCAAGTTCAAGACAGGCCTGGGCTACAAAGTGATCTCAAGGCCAGCCTACACTGCATAGGAAGACCCTGTCTAAAAAGACAAGTAATAATAATAATAAAATATCACAACTATAAAAATAGTCCATGGTAAAAGTTATTTAAAAATCATGAATTGTTTATTTCTGGAATGTTCTATTTAAATTGAAATATTAAGCATGGCTACAGGTAACTGAAACCAGGGAAAGTGAAACTTTGGGTAAGGGGGCATTACTGAATATGAATCTGCCAGATGAGAGACAAAATGAGAAACAACAGCCCAACTCTGCCCCAAACCCCACTTTAAGAACCTACCAAACTGACTGCCTACCATCCCAGCCATTGTTTCTACATCTCTTTCCCCCACATCTTGTCCCTGTGACTCAGGTGGTACAGCGGACACACTACCATGGAATGAAATGCCTCTTCCGAATAAGCTTCTTTCCCAAAGACCCTGTAGAGCTGCTGCGTCGGGATCCTGCTGCTTTCGAGTACCTATACATCCAGGTAGAGTCTGGCTTGGGGATACACAGACAGACCAGTGGACAAACAAACCATCAGGCTATTCTGCCATCACAATGAAGTCTCTATGTAAGTTTTTCCAACTTCCAGGTAGCTCTGGAGGATCTTTCTTTTTCTGCTACCATTGAAGTCCATTGCCAAATTGGCTGCCCTGGTGAACTGAGCTGGCTATGGCTCAAAGTCATAACTGTCCACAGAGAGCTCATCAGTTTTCAGAAACATTTAATTCTGGAACCTTCACATGATCCCAACGTTTAACAAGCCCACCTCAGCTTCAGAAAAGTCTCAGTTTCTAATACCTAGCTCCAGTAAGGAGCAGATTCCAAATTCACTTCATCAGACTTACTTACTGAGCACTTCCTTGGGGCCAGGCCCTGCAGCAGGTACTGGCAGTCCGAGGTAAAGAAAAAACTGTCCTCATTCATCAGAGTTTTTATATGCTTAAATAAACAAGCTGGAAAAAATTTGCAAATAAATAGGCTGGTAGCAGGGTTCAGTGTTGATGAGGGCACACAGGAAGCTATTTGCCAACTCTGTGTGGGAGAACGACAATGACAGCTCCATAGAGCAAGAAATTTGTGCATGCTTTTAGCTGCAGAGGATGAGTGGAAGTTTGCTGTGTAGAGACATGGTGTAGAGGGAACATACTCTAAGCAAGGGGCATTGGTGTTTACAAAGGCCTGGTGGCATGAGACAGCATGACATGATGAGAGAACCAAGAGTAACTTATTATAGCTGCAGCACAGAATGTGATGTAAGAAGCAGCATTAAATGAATGGGAGAGATAGGAAACAGGTGATAAAAGGCTTGATAGGGCATGGCAATCACAGGCTTTGTTATGGAGGCTGGGCAGTGATTCTTAAAGTCAGGTCACTGAACTGGTCACAACAACATCAACCGGGAACTTATGGAGATGCAAATTCTCTCCAGCCCAGTCTTATTGAATCAGAAACTCTGGAGGTGGAGTCCAGTGATATTTTAACAAACCCTTCATAAGATTCTGTTATCCAAACTACTTAAGTGGGGCCCAAGCATTGGCATTTCCTAAATTCTTCATGTGATGCTAATGTGCAGCCAAAGTAAAGAAATTCTCCTGGAGGGTCAGGGCACAGAAATGACAAAAGGTGAATGTGCTGGTCAGATGACCAATTTCAAAAGGTCACACAGTGCCAAGGAAGCATGCCAGGTAGGGAACTGTGGCAGTTATCTAGAGGAGCAATGATAAGAGTCAAAATCCAAGCTGTAAGGGAGGAGCAGAGTGGGATTCAAGAGAGATTTAAAAAATAAAATTCATAGGGTTGGATTTGATGAGTGTCTGGTAGAGGTGATATCATTCCTCAAATTAGGGTATAAAAGCAGTGGAATGGGTTTGAGACAATGAGTTCATCTGAGGATATATTGAGTTTTAAGTGCCCACAAGACATAACACAGCACTTAACAAGGAAAAAACCCTCAGACTTCATCTATCTCTGATGGTGACCCTGGGCACATACACTAGAGACATCATGACTGTCCTCTCTGCCCTTTCAGAAGGCTTAAAATGTTAGAAACATTTCTCAGTCCAAGTTTCTTTACCATCTGTGGGGAGAGTATTGTGCACGATGGCATGCTATGCCACACTGTAATGTCCAGGGGTGGACAGCAAGCCACTGCTTCACCAACTCGGGCCACTGCCCTGCTGGATAACGCAGCTCTGGCGATCCAAAACCCAGCATCAGTAAAGAACTAAAGATGCAGTTTAAAATAAAAGAAGACAGTTTATTTGAAGGTGGAGAAGGAAGAAAGGAGAAGTGACAGACAGCTCCTCTGGATGGAAAATTCAAAAGTAACTGGCCTTTGGATCTCTTGCCTGCAGCTCCTTTTTTTGAGATCATTGTCCCACGTGTTTTTGGAAGCTCACTGGCTCCCTGGCTTGTCTTTCATCAGAATCTTGGATTTCTTCAAGCAATGCCACCTTTGCCTGTCCTTTGTGGAGGTTAAAATTATGGGTGGGGACTTTAAGGACAAGCAGTTTCCATCTAAGGATTCAGTAAAAGAAAAGTTTGTGATTCATATGCTAGTCTGCTACAGGAGAACTTCTTGGTCCTGAGTACTTTGCCATTGCCTTCCTAATTGCTTGAGTTTAGCTGCCCTTGCCCTCCTAATTGCTAGAGTCTGGCAGGTTAAAACTGCTTTATTCATTTATTTTTTATTTATTGGTACCAGGCATTGAATTCACGACCTCACACTTGCCAAGCAGGCACTTGTGCCACTGAGCTAAAACCCCCGCCCAAAACTGCTTTATTTTTAATGAAGCTCAATGAGGCCTCATTCTATCTTTTTCCTACCTATAGTTATCCTTGTCCCTTCATTAAGAGGCAGTATTCCCAAAAATTTCCTCAGACTCCCTTGTGATTCATCCCCTGGAGCACTAGACAGCCAGTAACCTGCCTTCTGTCACTATAGATTAATTTTCACTTTCTAGAGTTTACGTAAGTTGAACTGTACAGTACATACACTTATTTTGGTCTAGCTTGTTCTGCTCAGCATAATCATTTTAAGATCCATCTATGGTGTTGCATGCATTTATTGTTCATTTGTTTTTACTTGTCAAGTAGTATTCCATTGTATAAATGTGCTAGAATTTATACCTATTGATGGATATTTGGGTGTGTCCAGATGTTGGCTATTACAAATAAAGCTTCTATGAACATCCTTGATGCAATCTTCGTATATATAATATGCTTTCATTCCTCTTAGGTAAATGAAATGGTTTGATCACCAATAGATCTTTCTTTAGATTTTTTTTTAAAGAAAATCCAATACTGTTTTGGAAGTGGTTGATCTTGTTTTCCCAACAATCAGATATGAGAGCTCCAGTTTCTCCACCCTCTTGTTAACACTTACTTTTACTAGTATATATTGTTTACTTTAATCATTCTAATAGTATATACTAGTGTTATGGATTCCATTTGCATTTCACTAATGACTAATGATGTTGAACAAATTTTCACATATCACTTGCTATTGCACATCTTCCTTGTTCAAATCATTTGCCTGCTTTTTTATTGGGTTGTTTGTTTTCATATTATCGAGTTTTGAGAGTTCTTTATATATTCTGGAAACAAGTCATTTGTTGGATATGTAATTTGTAATTATTTTCCCAGTCTGGATTGTTTTTTCAGTCTATAAACAGTGTCTTTCACAGAGCAATTGTTTGAATTTTGATGAAGTCCAGTTTGTTATTCTTTTATAGACAGTGCTTTTGATGTCATATCTAAAAATCTTTCTCTAACTCAAGGTCATAAAGATCTTTTATTTTTTTTTCTAGAATTTCTATCATTTTAAATTTTGCATTTAGGTCTATGATCTATTTTGATTTTCATATGTGATGCAAGATATTCATCGAAGTGTGTGTGTGTGTGTGTGTGTGCACATGCATATGTGTGTTGGCATATAGATACAGAATTATTCTGACAGCATGCTTTGAAAAGACTGTCCTTGGCTGAAGATATAGCTGAGCTGCGTAAGCACCTGCCTGACAAGAGCAAGATCCTGAGTTTGATTCTTTGTATAAAAAAAAGACTGTCCTTTTCCACTGAATTGCATTTCTACTTTTGTCAAAAATCACTTGTCTAGGCTGGTCATGGTGCTGTAGGCCTATAATCCTAGCATTCTGTGAGGCTGAGGCAGGAAGATCACAAATTCAAGCCCAGCCTAGGCAATTTAGCTATTTAGTGAAACCCTGTCTCAAAATCAAAATAACAGTGGTCTGGAGATATATTTAGTGCAAAGGCCCTGAGTTCATCCCCAGTATCACACAAAAAAATTCAGTTGCCCATGTTTGTGTGGATATATTCCTATTTCTGAATTCTCCATTTTATTGGTGTATTTATCTATCCTTTATACAAACATCACAGTCTTTTGATTATTGTAGTTTTATAATGCCTTTTTCTTCTTTTTTGAGACAGAATCTCACTGTGTAACTCCAGGTGGTCTTGAACTCACTATATAACCCAGGCTAGCCTCAAACTCACAGCAACCCTCTTGCCTCAGCTTCCCTAGTGTTGGGATTGCCAGCATGTGCCATCATGCCCAGCCTATAATAAGTCTTAAAATTAAGTAGTATTTGTCATCCAATTCTGCTCTTCCTTTCCAAAGTTGCTTTAGCTCATGTAGGCCCTTTGTATTTTCTTTTTTTTTTTATTTAAAAGGAAAAAGAGAAAAAAAAACAGAAAAAAAAAACAAACCAGTGTAAGGGTATAAGTAATACAGAACTACAAAAAACAAAAAACATAGTAAGATATCACCAGTTAATAGATTACACACTATCATTTTTGAAACAGTTATTCAGGTCACAGGATCAAAGCATACAAAGTGAACATTCAAACAGTGAGACTGCAAATAGTTGTGTTCAATGATCCAAACAAAAATATTAATATGGTCATCTATTTAACACACCTAAACACACTTGCTGTTATATCCTTTAGGGCACTTTTTTTTCCTCTCTTTATTACAACAAAATTTACACATTTTGGGTTTTATTGCTCCCATAGATCTTATTACTTTTTTTTGTAAGAGAATAAAATCAAACATGATAAAGCAAAGCTGTCAGTCAAAACCAAGGATAGACATAGCACATGATGTAAAAACAGAGTACAAGGTTATCAATAATGGTTACCATAATGCCTCTTGCTTCCTTAAAAAGAATTGTCTATCTCATTAGGTATTATAAAGTTGAACTAAACAGTAGAGAATAAGACCAATAAAACCTAAACATTGTAAACCTTACACAACTTCAAAAGAGGATGACAGTCAAACCAGAATGGGCATCAATGTGAATCTTATTGCCTTCAAAGTAGTTGCCTACACTCTGATACTTAATACTATCATACAGAGCAGAATAGAGTCTAATCAGTCAAAACAAGATAGTGGGAGTATTACAGGACTTCAAATCAAGTTAATAGGAAATCAAAAAAGTTACTATAATATATCCTGCTAGTTTTTTTTTATTTTTTCTCCTTAGTTTAAAAAAGAAAAATTAAAAAAATATTAAATAACTTTTTAATGAATAAGGGAGAGGTTGAGATAGAAGAAGGCATAACAACATAACAATACCGGTCAAAGCATGACAGTTTCAGCAACCTAGTGCTTCACCACCAAATAACCTGACTTAATAGTAGTTACCATAGTGTCTTTTTCCTTGAAATATTTGAATATAACTTCGTATGCTATAGCATCAAACATATCAAGACAAGTGTAACACCATTCAAGTGGATGAAAGCATTGTAGAGTATTTAGAACCAGCTAACAGAAAAATGAACAATGGTTTCTATATTGTCTCTTTACCTATAACAGTTTTTGTTTATACTACCATATATGATAAAATCCAGCAAGATACAACATGATAAAACCAATGGAGACAGAAGAGCCATAGTTTGGTGGGGCTTTAAAACAAGATGGCATTAAATCAGCACTAGCTATTATGAGCCCTTTGTATTTTCATGTGAATTTTAGAATCAGCTTGACAATTTCTACTAAAAACCTGATATGAGCCAGGTCTGATGGTAGAGTGCTGTATAATCCCAGTACTATGGAATGTTGACATACAAGGATTGGAAATTCAAGCCCTTAGGCAACTTAGTCTCTGAAAAAAAGTATATATATATATATATATATATGCATGTATATGTATATATAGGTTGAGTATATAGCTCAGTGCTAAGGTCCTGGTTTTTTTTTGTTTGTTTGTTTGTTTGTTTGTTTGTTTGTTTTTTTGGTACCAGGGATCGAACCCATGACCTTGTGCTTGGCAAGCAAGCACTTGGGCCACTGAGCTAAATCCCTCGCCTGATAATTCTGCATTCTACCCCATTACATGGATTTTATATTATTCTATAATGGTCACCAGGAGTTAACACAAGAAAATGCAGGAAATCTATCCGCAACACTAAAGACATAGAATAGTCAAGGGCCTAAATCTCACAGCAATGTCCCACATGAGTCCAGATAAAAACCCAGAGCTCATGACAATGCCTCCCACGAGTCCAGCTGGAGGTCTAGAGCCCACAAGAAGGATTCACACCAGTCTCTTTTATGGATCTGTGCCGGGAAAGCCCAGAGGTCATAAGGTCCTGGTTTTAATCCCAAGTAGTAAATAAATAAATCTGGAGTGATTTGCATTAGATTGTGGTGAATCTATAAATTGGTTTGGAGAGAACTGACATCTTAACAATATTGAGTGTTCCAAATTATGAACACAGTATTTCTACAATGATCTATATCTCCTTTTATTTTTCTTGATGGCATTTTATAAATTTCAACATATTTTGTCAGATTTATCCATAACTATTTCATATTTTTGATGCCATTATAAATGTTTGTTGTACTTGTTGTTTTGGTTGGTTTTTTTGTGTGTGATGGTGGTGGCAGTGGTACTGAGGATTGAAACTAGGATCTTTGCACTAAGCTATATATCCCCAGGTCACTTTAATTTTTTAAGTATGAGATGGGATACACTAAGTCACTAAAGTTGCCCAGGATGGACTCGGATTAATAATTTTCCTGCCTCAATCTCCCAGAGTGCAGGGATTACAGGCCTGTGATTTTTTTTGTACCAGAAATCAAACTCACGACTTCATGTTTGCCAGGCAGGTACTGTGCCACTGAGCTATATCCCTGGCCCCAGATAATGATTTTGATTTTTAATTTCAATTTCAATTTGTTTGTAGCTATCTCATAGAAATACAATTGGTTTTTGTATATTGATCTTTTCCTCTGCAATCCTACTATACTCACTTATTAATTCTGGTACTTCTTTTATTTTGTGTTTGTTTCTTTGGCAGATCCCATTGGCTTTCCTACATAGATGATCATTGACAAAGTATTTCTTTTCTACTCTCCTATGATACAGTCACACCACAGTGGCTCCCTAGCCCATTAGCCCATCTTAGTTTCACCTCAACCAAATGGGCAACTGTTCTGAGGCAGATTTCATTCATACCTGAGATCTGGCTCAGAAAGTTTGGTTTGGCTGGCAGTTCCAGAGGACTCCCTCTAGGTCAGGATAGGGAAGAATGACTCAAGCCTTTTGTCCTTTAGATCCCAAAGAACAGAATATCTACCACATCCCTGCAATCCGTCTCTCACCCTAGGTTTCTGGGTCAGAGCCATGTGGAGAATCCCTCTCAATGTCTCTGTTTGCTCCAATCTGAACTAGTAGAAGAGTCTTGTATGAGTAGGGAGGTGAGTATAGGCCGTTGAGAAAACAAGGGAGGCTTTCTTGTAACAGGAAGAAAAAAGGAGGTGATGCCATGTCTGACTTAAGCAGTGAACTGGACTTTCTGCCCATTTGTGCTTTGCCATTTGTGCACTCGTCTCTGAAAAGAAGGCTATCCAGTATCTCTCAATGAAGCAAATAGTATTTCTGTGACCCGAAGGTCTTCTGTTGTCTCTTCCCAAAGGGTAGCAACTTCCTCTCCCTCTTGCTCCATCACCGGAAATCAAACTCACGTCATGATTCTTTTCTGGGATATAAGGGAGTACATGGCAGGGTAGGGGGTGGAGAAGACATTCTCCTTTAATTGATGGGTTTGGACTGCCCTCTCTCACAGAGTCGGAACGATGTTATTCGAGAACGCTTTGGAATGGAACCCAAGCCAGAGATGCTTTTGGGCCTGGCTGCCCTCCACATCTATATCACTGTCTCAGCCACTCGGCCTAGCCAGAAGATCTCACTCAAGAACGTGGAGTGAGTTGTGCTGGGGCCCTTTGGGATGGGAGCAAATAGCTGTGTAGGGAGAAGATGTAGTGGCTAAGCACCGCTGTGCTTTTCAGGAATGTAGGCCACACAGTGGGGGTAAGAATTGGAGCTCTTCACACCTAAATTATGGTGCTCTAGAGAGCTACAGCTTCTGTTAGGGTACTGTCACTAGTGTTCTCTTGTCCCCATGCCTCTTCTTCTTTCTCCCAGTCTCTCTTCCTCCATCTCTGGCTCTTAGACTCAGTCAGTTTCTGTCTTACCGTCTTCCCCTCTCTGTACCACTTTATATCTCTCACTAATCTGTTACTTTTTTTTCTGTTTTTAGGAAGGAGTGGGGCCTGGAACCCTTTCTTCCTCCCTCCCTCCTGCAAGGCATCAAGGAGAAGAACCTTCGGAAGTCTCTCTCTCAGCAGCTAAAGGCTCACCAAACGCAACCTTCTAGTGGCACCAAGGTACCTGAGGGAGGTCATGGGGTATTTCAGGCACTACAAGCCTAGGGGGCTTTCTGGGTGGTTCTTCTGGGGATCCTCACCATACTTTCTGACTCAAGTACACATCTAGCTTGGCAAGGTATGGGAACAATTAGCAAAAAGTGTGTTTCACAAGCCTGAGCCTCTCCCAGAGATACCTCAGTGACATGTCAGTAAGAGAGCTCTGGATGCTCAAAGATAAGGGATCAAATGCCAAAGCTCATTCTTGGTCCTTTCACCAATTAGTGCTAATCATGTAAAAGCACTGGGCCCTAAGGCACATGTTTTCCATGGAAATGACTGCTGTCTCCCAGTAAGTCCTCATACATGGAATTTTGAGAGATAAAAGCCCAGCCTGAGGGTGAGTTTGCGTGTGACAAAAATGTAATCTGGATAATGAGTCACTGGGCAAGTGTGGGAGGGCTCAGGTCACTGCTGTCCTAGCCTCCACCTTACAGGGCACACATCTTGCATCTGAGGGGCTTATCTTCCTGCCTCCCCCAGCTCTGCAGCCCCTTCTTGGGCTTCTAAGGCTCCATGTGCTTGTGCCTCTTCCCCAAGAGGGGTGAGGGTGGTGAAAGGTACTAGGATCAGCATACAGATGTACATAATGGCCCCATATATTTTATCCATTCTAGATTAATTGCATTTCCAACTGGCTTCTCATTTAAAATGTGAACCTCCTCAGAAAGTTAGCCATTCCCACCTTGCTATGCATATTTAATCAGATTGTTTTCTCTTTGCTGAGGGCAACAGTGCTTACTGCCGTCAGCTAACATGCTTTTTGAGGCACCCCAGCAGTGTGCCTGATGATACAAAGATGAAGGCCCAATCTCAGTCCTCAAGCCAGACACAGTTTATTGGGGAAACAGAGCTATGAATCATCGCAACACAATGCTGCAGGCAAGGGTGCTCTGGAATCATAGGAGGGAAACTGATTCCAGGATGAGCAGGAGAAAAAGGCCAAGAGTTGGTGCCTTTGGTACCAGAGCTGGGTCTTAAAGGACAGACAAATAGGAGTCTGTCTAGATGAGTTGGTGAAGGTGCGTAATGGATGAAAGACTTTTTCAGGCAGGGAGATCCATCTGTAATGAAAACCCAGAGATAAGAGAGACCCTGATACAAGGGAAGAAATGCAAATAGTTTGGCCTAAGAAAGTACACAGAGTGCAAGGGATGTGTAAGGGGATGGGAGTAGGGACAGAAAAATGGGCCAGTGAGGGGACGGGTTGGCTTGGCAGGAGCCAGTTCATGAAAAGCCCTGTCTCCTGGAAACAGGTTATACTTCATTCAGTAGGTGGCAAAGAACCATCAAAATTTAAGCAGGAGGGGCTGGGGATTTAGCTCAGCGGCATAAGCACCTGCCTTGCAAGCAGGCGGTCGTGAGTTCGATCCCTGGTACCGATAAAAATGAAAAAGACAAAAAAAAATTATGTATTAGGAAGCCTCCTTTAACAGTATGTGGAGACAGCTGAGGGAAAGGAATATCAATACTGATAACTTAGCTGTCACCCTGATGCATGTGGGAATGTCCAAGGCAACAACTGGGAAGAAAAGAAGGTGGGTGGTTTGGAGAAAGAGAGTTAAGGTATAGAACCAACATGATTTGGTGCTCTGTGGCCCTCAGATGACAGGAGGAAGGGGGAGTCTAGTGTCTCTCATAGATGTCTGACTCAGTTGTCCCAGTGATGCTGATAGAAACCTGGAAGGCTCAATGAAGACCAACCTTGGGACTCAGAGTGAAACACCTCCTGCCCCAGTGCAGATGCCCAGTGTTTGGGTAGCAGTAAGGATTTGAAGTATCACAAGAGTAACACAAAGTTAGGTCAGAGTTAGGGGACAGTCAGTGTTGGAATTATAAACAAAATAAAATGAGTCCTCTGGTTGCCTTAAGGAGTGCAGGTCAGGAGGTGGGAGGAGAGTTTAGAAAGAGAAATGTGGTGCTAGATGTGAGAGCTTTCCAAACCAGAACCTTCCTGGGTTTGGCTCTCCAAGTCACGCTCCCACAGGTCTGTTCTAAGATATTGAGAGTACTCTTTGAGAACACGGGTTTGTTTTTCCTGTGTTTCTTGGCTTCTCATACTTTGGGTGGGTTGTTTTCACAGGGTTCTGCAATCCAGGCAAAGCTCCAGTACCTTCGAATTCTGAATGAACTGCCGACCTTCACAGGCGTATTGTTCAACACTGTGGGCCTGGTCAGTGGAGCAGTGTGGGGAAGGTGGGGGAGAGGAAACCAAACCTTCCTTAGCATTGGAAGGAGGCAAATACAGTAGACCCTCTGTATTCTATCAGGGTTCTGTATCCATGGATTCAGCCACCTGTAGATCAAAAATTTCAAAGAAATAATTATGTCAGTTTGAACTGTACAGACATTTTTCTTGTCATTATTCCCTAAGCAATACAATATAACAACTATTTACACAGCATTTCTATTATATTAGGTATTATAAGTAATCTAGAGATAATTTCAAGTTTATGTGAAATAGCTGGCCTGTCATCCTAGATACTTGGGAGGTTCAGGCAAGAGGATCTCAAATTCAAGGACAGCTTGGGCAACTTAGTGAGACCTTGCCTCTCAGGAATGTATCTCTGTGGTAGACCGCTGGCCTAGTGACCCCAAGGCCATGGGTTCAACCCCAGTACTGCAAATTAAGTAAGAAATAAAGTATATGGGAGGAGGTACATAGGTTACATGTAAATGCTATACCCTTTTAAGTAAGGGACCTGGATTTCGATATCTGCAAGTGGGTCCTAGAATAAATCCTTCATGGATACCAAGGGCCAGCTATATTTGTTTTCAGTACCCTTTTGAAACCCATTGTGTCCTCCTTCCTCAGCTTCAGAGGATGGCAAACTTTCTCTGTAAAGAACCAGATAGTAAACATTTTAAGCTTTTGCAGGTGGGCCAAACAGATCTCCGTGGCAGCTACTCAGCCCTCCCATCCTAATGGGAAAGCAACTGTAGACAATGCATTAGCAAACAGGCATTGCTGTGTGCCAGTAACTATTTAGGAACACAGGAATTTGAATTTCATATAATTTTCACATGCCATAAAATATGGTTTTTTTAATTTCTCTCCAACCCTTTAAAAATGTAAAAAGCCATTCTTAGCTATTGAGCCATACATAAACAGGTGGTGGGTTGGATTCGGCCCCACGGCCAGTTTGCCACCCCCCCACACACAATTTCCTCGCCCTTGCACACGCTTGCAGCCCCATATCCCAGGTTTCATGAGTCCTTGTGCTGCCCCCTGCCATGCTTGCCTTCCACTTCAACAGCGATTCTCCCAAGGCAGACCAAAGCAGGCCCACCCCTAACACTGTGCCCCAAGGCTGATTGACCCTAGTGAGAGAAAATTCAAATCATCTTGCCGATTAGCTCCAGGTACTTGTCACACTCTAGGGAGCACATTGTCATGCTAGCAGGCACTCTAAAGGAAAGCGGCTTATCAAAGTACTTATAGGCAAACACAAGATGTTCCTGGGGGTGATGCTAATGGCGGGGAATGGGCCCCCAGAGGCTCAGGCTTCATGCCTCCGAGGAGTTTGTCAGGATCATTTAAGAAAATCCAGTTCTGCAGACCTAGAAGTAGCCATTTATACACTGGTATTCAGAAAACACAGAAAGCCCACTTCCCCTACCTACCCCGCCAAAAAAAAAAAAAAAAAAACCACAACCCTGAAATCTCTCTTCCACCCACCTGCCACTGCTGCAGTTCCTGTTGGCCATTCTTTTGGGTTAAGAACATTGGAATGCTTACTAAAAGGTAAATATCCTCTTAGGGAGGGAAGCCCCCATCAAGTACCCAATCAACCCTTAACATCTTAGGCAGGGTTATTTTTGTCAGTTTAGCTTTTGGCATTGGGTGAGAAGTGTAAATTTGAGCAGCTGTTATGTGTGGAGGGGAATGGGAAGTGGGGGGGGGTGTTAAAGACCAGGCACAATGCAGTCTGGTCTGGTAGAGCACTGCATGGGGTGCTTGAACGACCTGCAGCAACCTGGGATTGCTAGGACAAGGTTCTCCAAAGGCACCAAAATGAATCTCACCTACATTACCATTTTGTTAGAGCTAGCTAGCTACTGCCCATTTAACTGACGCTAAGGCCAAAGTGTTGATAGATCAATGGTCTGGGGCCCTAGCCTGGAACAGGGTTTTCCAGCCCATTTTGCCTTCAAGCTTGTCCTCTGGCCCTGGTACTGAGCCTCAGATAGCTCCATTCCCCCCAACCCCCACAGAACCGCAGAACCAGTCCAATGGCTGTTTTCTGTTTCCCTCTTCCTGCCTCCTCTCTCCACCTCCTCTTCCTCCTCTCTGTGAATGCTGCTTGCTGTGCTTGGGTACCAGGACGAAAAGCAGTCAGCCACTACTCTCCTGGTGGGACCCCGTCATGGCATCAGCCATGTTATTGATCTCAAAACCAACCTCACGACCGTGCTGTCTGAGTTCAGCAAGATCAGCAAGATCCAGCTGTTCCGGGAGAACCAGGGTGTGGCCCGAGTGGAGACCAGCATCATGGATGCCAAGGTAAATCCTGCTTTGAGGGGCTGCTTCTCAGGCATAGGCCTTGAAACTGAGGGAAAAGTCAGTTTCAGACAGTTTGAGCCTGTGAGGTGAGGTTAAGTGACTGAAATGATTCTGACTGTAGGCCATTTTGGGCTCATCATTTTTCTTTCCCTTCTAAGGCTGGGAAGTCATGTCAACTCAAAACAGTTCTCCACAAGTGAAGGAAATTGAACAAATCAGAGCCAGACCTAGGATACTACTTCCCAATCATTTTCATATCACAGCCCACATAGAAATATCATACGCATGTAGAATGTTGAGCTAAATAGACCTGCCCCCAGAGACTCTGACCACCCCAGGCTTTCATGCTTTATCAGAAACATGAAATGAATATTTTGGCTCACCTCTCTTCATTCCTCATGCAGACTACTTGAGATGAAGCCATTTTGAATCAAAGAAAAGGGGATGGGTGTGTCTAAGCATGTGGACAGTACCAAGGGGAAGGAAAAACAGGCAGAGCTTAATCCTCATATCATCTCCCAGAGTCTGCCTCTTCCAGAACCTCAGAATCCTTCCCATAAATCAGCTCCTTTAGATTGGTAAGCAGCTGTCATCCCTTGGCACAGCTCTCCTGTTTGAACACAGTGACCACTTTCCCTTCTTAAAGGATTACCTAGGGGGATGTGTTGTTAGCAGATTCAGAGCTGGAGTATTTGCTGCTTCAAAGGAGCAAATTATTTATTTTTGTATTCATAAAATCTAGAAAGCTTTAATACATTAGTTTTCCATCTGTGATTTCCATTGGTTTAGGAGCCCACTGGTGCTGATGTTTAATTGGCTTGTGGTCTCTTCCTCAACCAATGGTTGCTGCCCTCCTCAGATGTTGTTAGATAAAAGGCCCAATGTACCGGCAGAGAAGAGAAAGTAAAGACAGAGCATGCAGGGAAGGTATGGCCTCCTGAGAAATCAAAGGAGCTGAAAAGGGAGAAACAGTTTTCCAACTTAGTCTGCTCCTTATGTTCCACTAGTGATTTTCCACAGTGAATACACAACAGAATTTCCTTGAGAAGCTTTTTAAAAATACAGATGTCTGGGTCCAGAAATGATTTCATTGATCAAAGGTGCAGGCTGGGTGGGCATCAAGTTTTCTTTTTCCAGTTTCTTGAGTGGTTTTGTAGTAAAATCAGTTGAAGAATGCACAGGTTTGAGATCTATATGACCTAGGCTCTGGGAGGAAACAGACTTAGCAGGAATGTGTGGGTATTATTTCTAGAAGTGCTCAATCCACAGTTGTGGGTATGAGCGCCCCAGAGAAACTACACACCAGCCCCATTTTTTAGGTGCTAGGGATGGAGCCCAGGGCCTTGTGCATGCTAAGCACTACTTTACCACTGAGCTACATGCACAGTCTGAAAAGTTGTACTCTTACTGGAAAGAATAGACTTACAAAGATTCATGACATGCCTTAGACACACAACATCAGAACATGTTAGAGCTCTTGAATAAGACACAAATCAGGTTCAAATCCCAGCCCTGTATAGTCTTGAGACAGTCTTAACCTCTCTGAACCCCGATTCTCTCAACTGCAAAATAGAGCACTTATTTTAAAAGGTAGTTTTCAAGATTAAGTAAGAGTCAGGTATAGTGATGCATGCCTGTAATCCCAGCTACTCAGGAGGCTGAGAGAGTGTTAACACAGGAAGCCAGTCTGGGCAACTTAGTGAGTAAAGTGTAGGACATAGAACAAAAGAACAGGAAGGAGTTAACAAGACTGGTTTCTCACAAGAGGATGTTTTAAACTGAATTTTGAAGTGATAGGCATGAATTAGCAAACAGAAGTGAGATATGTTCAAAGACAAGGAACAAGCAGGGAAATAAGCAAGCCATATGGGCAGACTGATAAGCATAGTTGCTTGAATGAAGAGGAAAATCATGAGGAAAAGGATTGAAGAGATTGGGAGTGAGCAGAACAAGTTGGTTAAAAGCCTCAAAAGCCAGCCCACGGCATTAAACTTAATGAGGTAGAAGAGTGGGAATCTACTATAGGTCCTTGAGCAGAGAGGTGACAGAATGGAGGCTGATTTGGACGAGGGTGCAAGAGAGCATCCAGGATACAGGAACAAAGATTATGTAAAAGCAGGGAGGCAAGGAGGGGACTTCAGAGCGTCTACAGAGGCAAGAGAGAGCAGTGGTAAGTAGAAGGAGCAGGTGTGAAACAAGCATGTTGGCTCATTGAGATATGCATGTGTAGCCTCCCACCCACACCTATCTTGCACACACAATGCACTATTGCATTACACCTACCCTGTTGCCTAAGTATATTGAGAAATAAGGCAACATGCATAGCACCACAGCAAATCATGAGTGGTTGGCTGATATGACATTATGTGATAAATAGTAGATAGTGATGGTGAATGGATGAGGCTGAAAGTTTGCCCTTTGCAAAAGGGAAATAGTAAATGGTTAGGAAGATGATATAAGTGCTCAGACACATAGTTATTGGGTGATAGATAGTTTATATATGCCCTACTTTAAACATCTGATAAGTGCATATGGAAAACCACAAGAGAGTTACACACTTTGTGTCAGAACTTTTCTACTTTGTAATAAGATTTACCTTGTGTGGTAGGCAGAATAATGGCCCGCAAAGGTGGTCATGCCCTAGTCCCTAGAGCCTGTGAATAAAGCTATGTCTTACAGCAGAGGGAAATTAGAGTTGCAGATAGAATTTGGATTTCTAATCAACTGACCTTAAAATAAGGCTGCTAGCCTGAATTATCTAGGTGGAAACAGTATAATTACAAGGATCGTTCTAAGTAGAAGAGAGAGGCTAGAGAAAGGCCAGAGAGATGTCATGTGAGAACTCAGCCCAACCTTGCTGACCTTGATCATGGAGAAGGGCCAATAAGTCAAGATGTGCAGGTAGCCTCCAGAAGCCAGAAAAGATAAAGATTCCAGCCTCCAAAAGGGGCACAGATAGGACCACACTTCATTTTAACCCAGTGAAACTTGTGTCAGACCTCTGACCTCCAGAATTGTGAGAGAATCTATTCTAAGCCACCGAGCTCATACTCATTTCTATAACAGCAACAGATTCTTTCAAGTAGCATGTATTCATATGCTGTATTAAAGCTAGAATTTGAAGCTAGGTGTAGTGGTGCACATCTATAATCCCAACTAGTCAGGAAGCTGAGGTAGGAGAATCTCAAGTTACAGACTAGCCTGGACATGGACAAAGACTTTGTCTCAAAATATAATTTTAAAAAGAGCTACAAATGAATAGCAAGACCCTATCTCAAACCAAAAAAAACAAAACAAAAAAAAACCTGAGAATATAGCTCAGTAGTACAGTAGTTGTTTAGCATTTGGAAAGTCCTGTTCAAACAAAAAAGCTATGATTTGATTAATAAACATGCTGTCTATATCCACCTTTTATTACATAAAATCAGTCGTGAGTTTGATCCCTGGTACTGATAAAAATGAAAAAGACCAAAAAAAAAACTTATTACATAAAATCAGATGCACCTGTCATCAGCAATGTCTGCCATGGGCATCACAAGCTACAAGCTTATACTCTAGGAAATGGACAAATAAGTATTTATCCCTTTTTTCAAATAAATCAACAAGCAAGATAGATAATCATATTGATAGCTTGAAATCAACCACGATGAAAGCATGTACACCCATAGAAATTGGCAAATGGTACAAATCAAGACTTGAAAGAACTGATTGCAAAACATTTACAGCCTGTTATGTATAAGATACACTCAATTTCAGCTGTCTGAATTTTCTTACCAGAAAACACAGAAGTTAGAAACCAAACTTAATACATTTCCCACTAAATATGCCACCCTCATCTGGGAATATTCATTTAAAGAAGTTCTTAGCCCCAGCTGCACATGAAAATTATGTGTGGTGATCTAAAAACCACAGCCTTTTCATCCCAGACCACTTAATCATAATATCTGAGGGTATGGCCCAGGGATACATAAGTCATTGCAGTTTCCCAGGTAACTCTAATATGCATCTGTTGTGAGAACCACTGCCCTAAATGATACTCTGTCTTGCCCCCAAATTGGCTGGCTATGTCCAATTAGACTTTCATGGCAAGAACACAAATATGCTGGTCCCCTGGGACTCAAGGACAGCTACCTTATAGTCTTGCCTCTCCAGACCCCTGAATCCCCATCCTTTGCCTGTTTTCAGAGAAGTTTAAGGGAACCGAGGCTATCCCTGGGCACCCCCAGAAGGAGATGTGGCTGGAGCATGCCAAATTAATTCTTCCTGTCACTTCTGGCTGACTCATGCCTCAAACCCTATCCTCCTTATCGCATTTTCCACTTGATGATGGCCTAGGCATATTTAGTTACAGTTTTCACTCAGCTTGCTTGCTTGTAGTGATGTGAACATGAAGTTGTATTCAAATACCTTTCTCCAAGAGACAGCAGTCTAGGACTGAGACACTACTGGGCCATTACCATACCTCATTACCACAGAAGCACATAAGGAAGAGGGAAGAAATTATCACAGGAATGTCCCATGAGATCTCTTGTGGCCCAATGTATCTCCCATTGTCTCCCTGGAGCTGTACTACTCCAGTGCTTTCTGTAGGGACAAACATTACATTAGACATCATGATCATTAAAATCCTATTTAAAGTTAAGTTTTGTTTTTGAAGATTTCTAAGAAATCCATTCAATGTCCTTGCTAGCCTGCCTTTGATTCACATTCTATCCCTGTTGACAGAAAGAACATCTGTATTCTCTTGAGTTACAGTTGATCCCATGTCAAGGCCCAGTTGGCCAGCTGGGAATGCCTAGGATAGGCTCCTGCTGTGCCAAGCTGTGCTGTGCTAAGCAAGGTGGGCATGTGCCTCATGCTCTCTGTCTACAGCATTTTGCCTTCTTGCTGTTTTATTGCTGACATCAGGCTATGTTGGGAGTAAGGAGAAACAAGTGAAGTCATACAGTTAAGTCAGTCAGTCAATTAGACACACAGCCTCAGAGAGTAATTCTGTCCAT